CTGTCCTGTTGAGGAAGGGGAGTTAGGGCTCTTTACATTAGTGATGGGTGATAGGACAAGAGGAAATGGGCATAAGCTTAGTCAGGGGAGATTCAGGTTGGATGTTAGGAAGTATTTCTTCTCTGAAAGGGTTGTCAGCCACTGGAGTAGGCTGCCCAGGGAGGGGGTTGAGTCCCCGTCCCTGGATGTGTTTAAGAATAGGGTGGATGAGCTACTTGAGGATATGGTTTAATGGGGATTAGGGATGGTTGGACTGGATGATCTATAAGGTCTTTTCCAACCTATGAATCTATGAATCTATGAAAAAACAGCTGAGTGGGCATGTGGCAGTTGGCAAAGGTCAACCCACCACGTAGGTAAAGACTGAACTTTCATCTAAGCATCTAAAATACATATTACCAGAACAAAGCCTACTCATTGCAAGCACGTAGAAGTATAATGCATTTATACCCTGTATTCAGTATGATGCTTTTAATGATAGGTTGTTTCAGATATTTAAAAATAAATCACACATGAAATTATAATCTAAAGTGAGTTTTGTTCTAATTCAGCTAAATTCTAAAGTGCACAAACAGTTTATCATAATGTCACACATATAAAATCAGGCTCAGGTTTATGTAACTTATTCAAGCAGAGTCTTAGAAGGGAGAAGACAGTTATCAACCTAGGTGTTTCATTTTTATGTTGTCTGCACATCCCATATCCTGTTATATCTATAGAAGCACAATAGCAACTTCAAAGGACTCATTGCCTGTGTTGCTTTGAACCTGTATTCCATTATTCAGCACACTTGGCAAACATTGTCAAAAAACCTTCTAAGTGGTACTGAATTTATGCACATCTAGGAGTAGAAAAAAGAAACTACAGAAAGCTTATGTGCAGATTGTTGTAATCTTGTATGTTAGATCTTATATGTAAAGCTAATATGTTAAAATGCAACAGATATGAAGAATATCCCGCCTGGAATACTGTGTTCAGCTCTGGAGTCCCCAGCACAAGAAAGATATGGAACTGCTGGAGCGGGTCCAGAGGAGGACCACAAAGATGATCTGAGGGCTGGAGCACCTCTGCTATGAAGACAGGCTGAGAGAGTTGGGGCTGTTCAGCCTGGAGAAGAGAAGGCTCCGGGCTGATCTTATAGCAGCCTTCCAGTACTTAAAGGGGGCCTACAGGAAAGCTGGAGAGGGACTTTTTACAAGGGTGTGTAGTGATAGGACAAGGGGCAATGGATTTAAACTGAAAGAGGGCAGATTTCGATTAGATATAAGGAAGAAATTTTTCACTCAGAGGGTGGTGAGGCAGTGAAACAGATTGCCCAGAGAAGTTGTAGATGCCCCATCCCTGGAAGTGTTCAAGGCCAGGTTGGATGAGGCTTTGGGCAACCTGGTGTAGTAGAGGGTTTCCCTGCCCATGGCAGGGGGATTGGAACTAGATGATCTTTGAGGTCCCTTCAAACTCTAACCATTCTATGATTCTATGATTCTGTATTTTGGAATGGATAAATTTAGATGTGGAAGTGTGCTTTCATATTTAAGTGGTTATATTTATATACATATATATAGTTTTCCCCTGTTTGTGTGTGTTTGTGTACTATGAGGACTACGAGTATACCCTCCTTGATTTGCAAGTGGCTTTAGTATTAGTTCATCCTTAGTTTTGGTTAGATTTATATATACATATACAAAATTTTCTTTCCTGTTTGTCCTCATTCTAGTATTTAGGAGCATATTATGCTTCTAGGTATAGTACTTACGGAGAGTTTTGGAAAAGAGCTCTACCAGCCCCTCCTACAAAGGAGAGATTAAGTGGTTCAGGAAATTGCAGGTCTGAAAAATTCTTCCTTGACTAAATGAATCAACCATGGGCATTTACCACTGTCAGAAAATTAGGTCACAGATAGTATAAGCCAATTTTCTGCGGAAGTCCATTCAGGAGTAAGTTAATTTTACATTTGCTGCTTTCTTTACCTTGTAATGGCAATGATAAAATGTCCATGCTCAACATTGGCTTCAGCTTTTGAATCTCTGGAATGATTTGAAATGACTTTGTGTTTCTTTTCAAGTTGTTCCAACACATGACTGGAGTTCTCATTAGAATGATCTTCATGCAAGGCCTGCCTGCTTCCCAGCTATCATCCACCTCCTGCTTTCCATTTTTGTCTAAAGTAAAGCTGCATCCGGCAAGCACTTGGAAATACGCTCTGTGATTGCTAATTACCTGGGCTGATTTACTTAGTTACGTGTTCCAGCACAATTTAAGTCCTTTCTTTTCCTATTGTATCTGCCTCATTATTAGTTACAATGGTGACATTTATACTGTAAATGGGACGAAAGCATGAAAGGGAAACTGTGTGTAGAGATAGGACCATCGTGCAAAGCATGAATAAGTACTGAAGTATTAAGGCTGTTTGTAATACATGAATATGGATTCAAAGGTTTTGTTTATATTGTCTTCAAAATATTTTTGAGAAATGGTTGCAAGGTTATAGACCTACTCAAGACTGTGTTAAAATCCATGCGCACATGACCATAGGGATAATAAGCAGCACAAATATTCTATGAAATGATATGTATTTAAAATGTCTCAGTAAGTATGAGGGAATACTTCTTCAGGCAATGACATTTTAGAAGCAGACAGCAATAAATAGGAAATAACGAAAATGCATTTCAGGGACTATACTTTGGCAGGACTATTGGCTATCCTAAAATGACGAGTAATAGAGTAAAATTACAGCCACAATTGTATATTCTGAAAGTTGAGATTTATACATGACTTGTAAATATGCGTGGGCAGGTTTTTGTTTGGGTTTTTTATTGTTGTTGGTTTTTGGAGTTTCTTTGATTGGTGTTTCTCTTTCTCTCAATTACAAAAGGGAAAAGTGGTATTTAGGTATTTAACTGAACGAAGCTTCCCTTCCCCCCCCCCCCCCCCCCAAAAAAAAAGATAGTTGTAGTTTAGTCCTAAGAAGTAATTTAGTAGTTAGGAGATTTCCAGATATTAAAATACTGTATCATTTAAATACATAGGTGTGTTTTAAATGAAGCAAAGGCATTGAGGTTAGTAGCTCACCCCTTTGTCAATGCCAGATGTTTCTAACTGAATCTTTTGTTGAATTTTCTTCACACCTGGCTTTTCCTTAGTTCTCCTATTACCTCTACTTAGGTTGACTTCATGGTACTTGATCTTAACTGCTAGCAGCCACGCAGGAAAATAATTCCAGAGAACCACCTTTTTTGTCTGTTTGTTTATAGCATCTTATAACTTCTAGAACTAATTCCGTGAACAGTTAGCAAGCATTTACCAACATGTTTCAGGAGAGGACAGGAGTAGAAGGGTGCCTAAAGCACTCCAGAAACTTGTTATGCCTTCAGAGATTTCCTATATCGTATCAAACAAGCCTTTTAACAAACATCTCTCATCTCACAGTGGTTAGGATGGAGATACTATCGTTAAGAAAGTGAGATCTCACACTAGTTTTTTTAATATCATATGTTAACTGGTGTTAGCCGGAAAATGATATTTCTACCTTGAGAGTAATTCCAGTCGTTCAGGTTTGTGTTCAGTTCTGGAATTTCACAGTTGTGTTTTAGGGATAGATTTATGTACTTTGTCATGTGTTGTATTGAGATGATACTAATTGTGAGAAGAAAGGATCTCTTAGGCTTTACAGTCAAAGGGGTTGTGGAGGAAGAAAGACTCTCAATATGACTGAAGAAGGAAAAGAAAACACAAACCAGCAGAAATAGTATTGCAGTGGATGCTATCATTTGTCAGTAAAGAATTGAATTTCTGTGAGACTTCTTCCAAATAGAATTTTTTCTGTTAAAAAACGCTAACCCAACTATCATATTCTTGTTGTTATTGGGGTGTTTGAATATACTTCATTAAATCAATAGAAGGAGAGAAAGCAAACACTTCAGCATAAGGCACCATTTGTTAAACACTTTGAGAGGTAATATGCAAACCTTAGTTTAGAAGATCTACCTGTAGCTCAAATCAACTTAAAGTTTGTCAGTTTTGACCAGCTAAACCAAAACTTAAGAAAAGACGCACTCTAGGGCAATGGGAGTATTTAAGTCAGGCTTTAGGTGCAGGTATGCAAAGAAGTTAGTGCCATTAATCAGTTGAAGTGGAGTTGGCAAACCTAAATGATACAAGTTTATTTGTAAACCATTTATTGTTTAAAATGGCAGGGGTTTCCTGCTACTAAAATACACAAAGTTTTGCTTTGAAGAAAACTGCAGCATTACTGTATTCACCATAGATGACTGTTCTTCCTTGAAGGAAGAACTTCAGTTCCAAACCAGTAGGAGGTTTAGGGTGAGCACTTATGGTAGAAGCAGCCCACTACTGATCTGAGGAGTACTGTGGATGCAGGAATGAGTAGGATAAATTAGTGAGACCTGACACTGCAGAGAATGTAACAGAAATGCTGCTTGACTTATAACCATGAAAAAATCCTATCCGTTCCTTTCTTCGACTTTTTTTTTTTTAAAAAAGAAATAAAAATTGCCACCTCTTCTTGTCTAAAATACTCTCTTCCTCTGTGTCTCTAGAAATATGAAAAAGGATTAGACTAGTTTTTGAAGAGGTAACAATTTGTGAAAGCAAAGCAAATTGCAGATTTTTGGAAGGCATAGAAAGCACTATGGCATATGCATGGTGATAAATGGCTTATTTTGATAATGCCGTATATCTGCATTTTGTCCATAACTGGAATATTTATTCCTTGAGTTTTTTCTGGTTTTATTTCTGTATGGAAACTTGCTTCTTGAAATAGTTGTTCCATTGTTCATCTTGGATCTTGTTCTTCTGGCAGCCATCACAGAGGTTTTCCTGAAATTTTAGCTCATACTTAATTCACTATAAAATTGCTGGTGGGATTCATTTCTCTGAGATGACCCTTTAATGTTCTGGCAATGCCTAGTTCAACCTGCCATTCTGTTAAATCTTTTCAGAAGTTACTGAAATGGTCTCAATATTATTTTTTTTTATTGTAGGTTTCATATATACTGGAGAAGTTGTGCATCGAATGCTAACAGCTACACAATATATTGCACCCTTAATGGCAAATTTTGACCCCAGTGTGTCAAGAAATTCAACAGTCAGATACTTTGATAATGGTATGTAGTAGTCCTTCATAAATGAATGTCTGTGTCCCTTGGCTCTTCATATTTTTCTAAATAACGATTTTTGAAGGAAAAACTGAACTTTTAAATTTTTTTTTGTTCTTTTTTTTTAACTCACAGGCTATGAAAAGTATGTGGCTAGACATCCATGAACAGGTCTTAATTTAGAACATGGTTAAAGAGTCATGAATGCCTTTTCCTAATTGGACAGATGTCTTCTGAATGTTAAAATACATAAACTCAAACTAGCAATGTATTTTATCAGTTTTAAAAGGAAAAAATCTGTCTTGTGTAGAAGTGTAAATTCCTGTTACTTATATAGTAAATACCATCCTCCCACTAGCTAAAATGAAAATAGTATTTGTGGAATGCAATAGCAAGAACACACGGAAGCAGGGTAAGTATAAGTTTAATAAACTCGTCAATGAGTAAGTGTGCATGGAATCCCAGAGTTGAAATCCAATACATTCATCTACAGCACAAGTTCTCAACAGTCATTTGTACAAAAGATTGAAAGGGTTGTTGTCGGTTGACCCTGGCTGACGCCAGGTGCCCATCAGAGCTGCTCTGTCACTCCCCTATGCAGCTGGACAGGGAAGAGAAAATACAATGAAAGGCACGTGGGTCAAGACAAGGACAGGAGAGATCACTCAGCAACTACTGTCATGGGCAAAACAGAGTCGACTTGGGGAAAATTAATTTCATTTATTACCAATTAAATCAGAGTAGAATGACAAGAAATAAAAACTAAATCTTAAAATGCCTTTCCCCCACCTCTCCCCTCTTCCTAGGCTTAACGTTACTCCCAAGTCACTCCCTTCTCCCCCAGTGCCACAGGAGGACAGGAATGGGGATTGCAGTCAGTTTATCACACATTGTTTTTGCCAATCCTTCCTCCTCAGAGGAAGACTTTTTACACTCTTCCCCTGCTCCAGCGTGGGGTCCCTCGCTCAGGAGACAGTTCTCCATGAACTTCTCAATGTGAGACCTTCCCATGGGCTGCAGTTCTTCACAAACTGCGCCAGTGTGGGTCTTTTCCACGGGGTGTTGTCCTGCAGGAACAGACTGCTCAAGTGTGGGTCTCCCATGGAGCCACAAGTTCTGCCAGAAAATCTGCACCAGCACGGGCTTCCTATGAAGTCACAACCTCCTTCAGGTGTATCCACTTGCTCTAGCATGGGGTCCTCAACGGGCTGCAGGTGGATGTCTGCTCCACTGTTAACTTCCATAGGCTGCAGGAGACAGCCTGCCTCACCATGGTCTTCACTATGGGCTGCAGAGGAATCTCTGCTCTGGTGCCTGGAGCCCCTCGTCCCTCTCCTTCACTGACCTGGATGTCTGCAGAGGTGCTGCTCTCGTATATTCTCACTCCTCTCTCCAGCTGCCATTGTGCAGGTTTTTATTTCCACCTTCTTAAATACGTTATCACAGAGGCACTGCCAGCATCACTGATGGGCTCAGCCTTTGCCAGTGGTGGGTCCATCTCGGAGCCGGCTGGCATTGGCTCTATTGGACATAGGGGAAGCTTCTAGTAGCTTCTCACAGAAGCCACCTCTATAGCCCCCTCCACTACCAAAACCTTGCCATGCAAACCTAATACAAGGGTAAAAGGCAAACTGCAGTGTTAGACTTAAAGCTCTCTGAGATATTTCAAAGGCATTGAATGTGTGCATATTTGTCCCATGAAGTCAGTTATAATCAATATTTTGAAAATATAACCTATGTCATGAAGAGGCATCTGGTGCCTTTACCTCGCTCCTTTAGTGATCAAATACAATGGCAGCGACTGTCTATTCTGAATTTAAAACTTAAAGAGTTTAGTGTCATGTCTTCATGTCTTAGTATCATGAGATCTATGACTGTTTTAAATCTTCCTGGATAAGCCTGTGCCATTCTATGTATGTTTACCCATAGTGAATTTAAGCACAAGTTATTAACATCTCCAAAAATATGTCATGTTTTGAACCAAGTATGTTATTTTTTATTCTTTAGATCAGGAATCAAAATGTAGCCTATAACCTTTCTACCTAGTCATAATCTTTCAATCTAGTCATAGCTTGCAGCACTTGTTAAAAATCCAATAAAATCTCACTTACATGAGAAAATCCTACTCCTTGCATGGATAATTTTCAAACAGAAAAAAAATATTATTTTTGTTTCATAAATTTTTTGACATTATGGCCTGAGATTTGTCATCTTTACTGAAAGAATCCGAGGATTCCGGGGAATACATTGCTAATTCTCATTGTATTACTGACGTCCAGTCTTCATACCAGGTGTGTCAGACTGTACTGCATTGCTTTCATGACAAGGTTGAATACTTTGAGATTTTGGATCCCTCTTCATGTATAAGGCATGAACATCTTTTGGACCCCATGTGCTTTAGCACAAAGAATTTGCTATCGTATGCCAAATGAAAAAAGAACTGAACAAATCGTGTCTTCTGCTCCTTATTTCTTATTCATCCTTGTTTTAGCCTTGTGAGTATGTGTGCTCTTTAGAGCAGCATCTGTAGTGAGCAAGCACAGAGTGTAGTGACCCACTGAAATCTCACTCATGGAGCCAACTGCAAGGAATGAATCTGCATAAAGGACCTGGGAATGAGAAGCTTGTTTTGGAGACAGCTGAATTCCACTTTAGCTTGGAATTCTGAGATACACATAGATCTGAGGTACTCAAAGACTAACTATAAGTAGTTCTGGCTATTTTTCCTTAATAATCTTAAAAGTCCTTTTAAATTCCTTTAAAATTAAATTTAATTCAAGCAAATAAATATTCAGAAAGCAGTTAATGAATGTGGTCTCAGAAGGAAAAATGCACTGTGTGCACAATTAATGGTCATGTACTATGTTTATGAAAGACACATGAGACAATAATGTGGTGGACTTAGTGCAGTATGCACCAAAAATTTGCATGCTCGTAGTTTCATGACATCCCCTGCCCAGAGATGTTAATGAAAACTACTGCACAGAAGATCTGTGATAAAAGATATTTCAAGGATATATCAAAAATGCATTGAGCTGGATGCATATTGACCCACCTTAAACACTCCAGGAAGAAACGAAATTAGAGTATTGTGAATCAAAGCGCAGTACATAACTCCCATTAGTGCCAAAGAGAGAAGTACGTTAAGGCAGGCATATAAAGATGAAGAAGTCATTTTCAGTAAACACGGATTTGTGATAAGTGTCTTTCAGCCAAGCTACTTGAATGTGTCTATAGCCCTCAACATCTGTAAAACATGCTCACAGGGTGTGCGAGTTGCTTGGGGTACATTTTTAGTGCGATAAGTGGATATTCAGCCAGAGAACTCCCATGAATATTAAAGAGCCTCTTGCAACTAAATCTCTGCACACCAGACTCAATATTTACCCTGTCTATGAATTCTTAGTGGTTCTAATTTAAACTACATTTATTTATTGCCAACACCTAATATTTTTCAACTTGCAGAACCTCAGCAAGAGCTTGCACCATGCAGAAAAAAGTTAGTACTATTTATATTAATGCATAGATAATGGAAGAATCTGAATTCCTCAAATAATGACTTTTACTAAACAGGCAATGCTATTAATGCTATTAGCACTTTAAAGTCATCAGAGGGTATATATATATATATGCGTGTGTGTGTATATATAGTGTAAAAAAAGCCACTGCAGAGCAGTGCTGGATCTGAGTGCTGGATCCTGCCTTTAGGGATTGTTGTCTCCTCGTGCAATTCCAAACAAGTTGCTTGACCACTCTTGCTTTAGCAGTCTTTTATGTGAGTAGTTGAGGTAGTTATCTGTGGCACTGCGGTGTCTAACTTTAAGAGGATTTCAGTTGCAACTTGTGTTTGTAATATCTTTGGCATTTCAAGATGCTAGGCTGAAAGTTGCTAAAAAGAGACAAATCACTGTTCTTGTTTCAAGTAACTGCAGTTAAGTACTTTTCCTACAGTTAATATTTTTCTCACATTTTTTTCTTCCCTTTGCCTCTCTACCCCCACTCTGGGGTTCACAGGCACAGCACTAGTTGTCCAGTGGGACCATGTACATCTGCAGGATAATTACAACCTGGGCAGTTTCACTTTTCAGGCCACCCTTCTCAATGATGGGCGTATCATTTTCGGCTACAAAGAAGTAAGTTTGGTCTGAAAATTGTCATTTAAGTAGACAAATTTCTTTATACCTGCCAGGAATTTGCCTACATTTTGAGGGGGGATATTTAAAAGTTCAGCTATATAAGATCATTTCATTATATTGCTTATAAGATCACTATTTTGCTGAAAATGACATTTTATTGTAAAAGTAATGTTCATGTGAGGGACTTGAAAACCATCAAAACGGCTCAAATGTGCTCCTCCTGGATTTCAACTGATCTTTTTTGTCTGGTTGTAAGTGTTGAGCGTTCAGTAAATTCTTGATAGTTTAGTAAATTCCCCTCAGATTTTGAAAGGTAGGGTCTAATTTGCTTCATTAGTTCACCTAACTCAGGCCAGTTTGAAAATACTCTAGAATCAATGCTTAGTATTAAAAAGTCACCTTTTTTTCTGCACCTATCATTTCTTGGCAACCAACGTGTTTCAAAGTTCATAGATTTCAAATAAGAAATAATTGGTTTGTATCTCTAACTCTCTGAGGTTTTCCATCTATTTAGTGATAGTATTGGTTAGATGAGGGCCATATGGTTTGCCTTCACAGCACTGATTTGTTGTTCCTCAGTTGAGCTCTTCTGCATTCACCAAGTGTTTCAGAATTTCAGTTGTTACTTTAGACCATTTTTCTTCTTGCTAGAGTTGCTGCAGTCCTGGAGGCTACAGCCTAGATACTATACCTCTGGCTGAATTTCATGCAAATGAGAATCAGAAGATAGACAAGCTCAAATCTCTAGGAGCAAAGAACAATTTCTTTCTTTTTTTTTTGTTACTTTCCTCTCAGTTTGGCATGAAAAGTGTGACTTTCTCTTCAAGAAGTAAGTCTCTCTGTTATCCTCCTTATATTAAAAAAATGTAATCAGTGGTATGACTGTCCAGACTTGGAGAAATCTGGGTTCGCTTCTCTCTCTTCTACAGACCGGTTGTGAGCCCTCAGGCTCATTTTTTATGCCTGTGTTGAAGCCATACACCTGAATGAAGCAGAAACAGTAGCACTCCTCTCCCCTTCATTAGAAAGCTAGTGAGGATATGGATTATTCTACTAGCAGCAGTCATATCTTCACCTAAGATAGATTTCTTTGCACCTTGCAAACAGGATTGCTGCAGGATACTCTTACTGCATTAGTTTTGTAGACACAAGAACCTCTGGTATGCCCGCATACCTAGCTTTTGTTATCTTATAAAAGACATGCTGATGCAAGGTCTGCTTTGGGTCTGAGTGTTACATGCAGGCTTGTAGTCTTCATCTATGAAAATGCAATTTATTTGCATTTGACTCCAGCTTCATGAAAGCTTTGCTCTACTTAGCACAATGGAGCCTGTGCTTGATCAAAGGAGTGTGCACCAACGCTTTCTTTATCTCCTATTGTTGAAACCTTTTTAAAGAAAAAAAAAAATCTTTTTAAAGACTACAGAAAATTTCCTGCCTTCCAGACACAGAGAAGCAGGGAGAGACAGCATTTCGGTTTGTAATTTTAAGATAAATTTGAAAAGAACTATATATGCATTCTGACATTAAAATGGTGACATAACGTTGCTCTAAATTTATAGTATCTTGCATTCATTTTGCATACATGTAAATGATGACGCAGAGTGCCAGGCAGTGGAAAACTTGATTTGTTTAGGAAGACAGGAGGAAATGGGCCAGCTCATTAATCACATGTGGTTCCCTAGAATTGCTTGCAACTATGTAATTTAATCTGTGGATAAACAATTTCTGTGCTACAGTGGTGTAGGATGCTTGATCTCACTGCTCTACTGGAAGCTTCCTCCAGAACCACAGTGCTTTTGTGGGAAGGAGTTATTAATGTTCTTTTTATTAGTCTTGAGACAGAAAGAATTGTAATTTACATATGTGATAATTTGCGTTTTTTCCACTGCTAAATCTCCAAAGTCCCCTGTCATGAGTTTTTCTTGTCCTGAATGCAACTACCAAACATCACTTTAGAACTATTGCACATAGTTAAGCAAGTAGACTTTTTAAAGTGGTAATAGTAAGGTACTAGTGGTCTGTCAATCTTTTGACAAAAGGTTTTTGTAAAATCTTAGAATGTTACTAGTGTACTCCATTGCAAATTACTTTGGGGAATGGATTTGGAGGCTGAGATTTCCAGAAGACTCTGCTCTTTATCGGCAGCTTGCCTTACGCCATTGAAACTACCTCAGCTTTTCACCTAATTGAGGAAAATTGAATAAAATTCCCAATCACTGATCAGACACAAGTTATCTGAAAAGAAAACCTGAGACACTCATAAGTTTAAACTTGGATCTAGTGCTTATAAGCCTGGCTAGAAATCTACTTACTTTGAAGTACGGAATCCATTGCTTTCTGAGGAAGTCCTTCCTTCTGGAACCATTTCTCTTGCTGATGAGTCATGTTGTCAGGAGTTGCATTAACTCCAGTAAGATTACTTGTGTGAGTGCTCACTAGCATAAGTAAAAGTTGCATGAGAATATTTCTACTGTCTTTTTGGTGCCATTTCATTTTAGTATCACAGTTCATCAAAAACGACAGTGATATATGGCAAATCCGTGAGGTCTGCATTGCGTTGTCATTGAAAGTCTCCAAGCTGAAACGCCATGTAAGAAACGTAGCAGACAGGTTGCCTGTAACTTCCCACAGGGGATCTGTACTACTCACACCAGGTGTTCATCTCAGAAAAGCCACTTTTAAAATGACTGTGATTATACATTTAAGGGAGGTACAAGTAGCAAATCACTTCAGGTAAATTTTGCCTTTTATTTCTTATTTATTCAAAACATTTGAGATTCCCTTTAAATATCGTTCCTGCTCCTGTATCAAATTTACTACCTGGTAAACCTGGTGTTGACCACTGAGGCAGGATCTTGGCTGAGGTTTGCTGAGTTTCAGAGCAGCTGTTCTGCCCAGTCTTCTGCGTTCTATTGTTTGCCCAATAGGAAGCAGTCTGAAATGCAAAGTTGTTATCCAAAATCCAGAATAGATTCTGAAAAAATGTAAATTTAGGAAAGGAGCTGAGCCACCAGGATAGTGAAATCTGGAGCCATCGGAATATCTTTCAGAAGAGCTAGTGGGTAGGAGAAGGAGCTGTGCAGCCAAGTTTTCAAAATATAAAAACAGTTTGAAATATAGCAAGGTCCTATATAGCAAGTCAAATATTTATTTCTTTAATAGTTTACTTTGTTTACAGTGCATACACCTTTCGTTTTACATATCCCTTTGCTTATACCAACTGTTAACATTTGACAAATGGTCAATATGTCAGGAAACATCAGCTGACAGGAAAATTTTACGGATGCACCTCTACTACAAATGAAATACACTACAGTGCAACAGAACTAGCCAACAGAACATTTTGATATAGAAGATTTTCTACAAAGGCATGGTTTTTTTTGTGTATTAGTAGCGAACACTCATTTCTTATGTTTTAAATTTCACAGTTCAATTCCTAAGAGCTTTACTTCTTTTTGAATGAAATAACTTTCCTATATAGTCTTTTCTCCTTAGTGCTTATAGTTAATGTTCCTTAGTGTAACTTTTAGTTTCTTTTCCTGTCCGTGATTAATACGGGACAAATTAGGCAAAGGTACCAAAGGCTTTGTTAATGGTTTAGGATATTTTTTCTTAATTTCATTGGCTTGAAGGCTTTCTTTGTTCATTTAAATAGTAATGACTCTCTATTTACGTAGTCATCCAGAAACCATTATTAAAGTTGAAATGCTTGTTCAAATTGCCCAATATGTGAAGTTGGAAATTAATTCTAAAAGAGACTTGTAGTAGAATTTCTTTATACATGAAACGAGGCAAAATCAAATGGAACTGATTAAGTGCTAGCACAATTGATGCTCCTGCTATGTGTGATGGAAAATATTCTGTTTTCAGTAACAAGACTCCAAACCTTGTGATTGTTTCCTCAAAACTAAAAAAAAAGATGCAGTCTTCATGGTTATTCTGCCTGCATTATACATGCCAGGCTTTTTTTTTTTTTGTCTCTGCTATTATTATCAAGATTATTAACATAAAAATAGGATCTTTGATTTTATGAGGTGATTGGTGTATGCAACTAAAATTCCTGGTTAAGTTTCATGCAGTTTGGCCTGTAGAGTAAATAATAACTATTTAGGAAACTGGCAATGAAACCCCTACATAAGTACTATTGTGTTCCTAATTATTTTGCAGCTGGCTCTTATCTTTGACTCAGTTTTGAAGTGGGGCAGTAGTTGCACCCTGCTTACCATCTCCTTCAGAATAAGGTCAGAGACTGTTATTTTATTCTTTTTTGAAGGGTAGGATTCTAACATGTCCTCAGAGAAAGCTGAAAAGAATAAAATTTGAGAGCTCTGAAGGAAAATACTGTCTAGATTACTGTTCTCAATGATGACTAGAATTCAGCATGAATTCTGAATATCTTTCTCCCTACTGTTGAAGTATATAATCAAAAATATAGATGCCTGTTGCCCCAGCACTAGTGTGCATTTGGGAAGCTTACTCATAAACTGGTGACTTTTACAACACAAGAGTTCATATTGCTGAGGGAGTTGGGGCTGTTCAGCCTGGAGAAGAGAAGGCTCCGGGGTGATCTTATAGCAGCTTTCCAGTACCTAAAGGGGGCCTACAGGAAAGCTGGAGAGGGACTTTTTACAAGGGTGTGTAGTGATAGGACAAGGGGCAATGGATTTAAACTGAAAGAGGGGAGATTTAGATTAGATATAAGGAAGAAATTTTTTATATTGAGGGTGGTGAAGCAGTGGAACAGGTTGCCCAGACAAGTTGAGGATGCCCCATCCCTGGAAGTGTTCAAGGCCACGTTGGATGAGGCTTTGGGCAACCTGGTGTAGTGGAGGATTTCTCTGCCCATGGCAGGGGGATTGGAACTAGATGATCTTTGAGGTCCCTTCCGACCCTAACCATTCTATGATTCTATGATATTGTCTATGGTAGAGCTAACAGACATTTTTGAATTATTCTAGTTAAAATGCATCCTCTGAATGTAATGCCGTAAAACCTAATAATAATAATTTCAATATTATTGAAATCGTAATTTTAAATCATAATTAAATATAATTAAATATTTTTAAATTAAATTATTTAAAATTAAATAATTTTAAATCGTAATTTTAAATTTTCAATATTATTGAAATCGTAATTACGATTGAAATTGTAATTTTCAATAAAGTATTTTATCATTTACTACAAGCTGTCTGTCAAAAGGGTATGTTTCCTAATAGGCCATCATATGGTAAAAGCCCATTTTATCTTGACATGTCATTCAAAAGATTTCAGCTATAAAATGACACTCAGTACACTCATCACCGAGTGACTGAAGTATTCGTGTTTGTAAAATTATTTGTTTCCACACTTGAAAAATAAACAGATGTTTTTGTAAATACAGGTTTAATAACATTGTAGTTTTTCAAGAGAATAAAAGAGTTTCCTGTGTCATGGATTCCCTTCTACATTTATATCTGTATGACTAAGTGTTTGACCCCGGCTGTACCTCAGTTTAAAGAGCTCTCTGTACTAAATTAATTTATCTTTTCCTCACCTTACACAAACTCTTGTTTCTAAACCCTGTTTCTAAAACATATATCAAAAATTTTGACTGCTTCTTGAAGCTGACAGTCTGTTAGACTGGGCCCTACTATAACTTTCTCATTTGTTTTAGAAAATGATTCCGCGTCTTCTTCACTCTCTCTAGAAGCCCAGCACAAGAACGTGCATACCTGCAGGGATTTTGGCAAAATCTGCTAAGATGTTTCTGCTTCAAAATTTTCTAATTTCTGCTGAAGTTTTTCGTTGTATTTTCTGTTCAACTTGGCTACTGCCTCCTATTTTCGTACCAGGTGTCAGAGCCATTCGTAAGTTTTATTAAATAGTAAAACTGAAAGTGACTTTCAAACTCTAAAGCAAGTTGTATTGAAAATAAATTTTTAAAAACAAAAAAAAACCACTTGTAGCATTTGTACTGAAGAAGCCATCACTCCTTCCAGAAAAGAAAAGAGAAGAAAAGTGAAGAAAAGAAAAGAAAAGAGAGAAATTAGTTCGCTGTTATAATTTTTTAGAGAAAGATGCAAATTTTGCAGTTATTCACAAACGCAGCAGAAACATGTGTGAAAAGGCACTAGAATTAAAATAAGGAGTCTTATTCAAGGAGGCCTGAGACTTCTCCTGGTTTGAACTCACATATAAAAGAAATACAATTCTTTTCATGTATCAGACACAACTTGTGCCTTGAGCTGCCAATTTTGCCAGCACACTTTGTTGATCACACACCTACTCATAACACCAATTCCAGCTACATTTTGTATCCATAAGGCTCTGACTCCTTTCTTCATCTACTCTGTTTCCTCTCTAACTTGGAAGAGAAATAGTTATTGCATCTTCTCATTAGTGTTTTTTCTAACTTGATTTTCAATAACTTCTCTAGAATATCCTCCTCAAAATCTTTTAAGACAGTTTCTCTCATAGTTAGTATAAGCTTTTCTCTACAGCATTCTGAGACTGAATAATTCCCTTATTTCATTTATACTTTCATGTTGGAGAAAGTTTATAGAGTTATTTCTGAACTGAGTCTTTTATTTTGAAGACTTTGAAAGTACAGCTTTCAGCATTCTTAGGTCATATTCTCCAATAACTGCATCAGAGCTAAGCTGAATAAGTCAAATTTAAATTGATGTATTACTAGCAGTATTTCCAAGCCACTTCTGTTTTTCTTGTTGGTTTAACATCATTTCTTTTGTTATATCAAAGCAGATCACGTATGCAAGAAGCCCTAAATAAACCAGCCAAACCAGTCACTAAATCAAGTAAAAGAAATGGAAATTTATGACACTATTTAATTCATCAGAAATCACTTTTTCTGTTAATATTCTAAAATTTTTCCTAGACTTATGCCACTGTAATCAGGAAAAAGCATAGCTAAATGATATTTTGAGAACAAGCAGAAAAATGCTCAACTCAAATACCAGAAGTCATGTCATTAATTGACATGTAGACAATACTGAATCCTCATTCACTGGAGTGTAACCAGCTTTTTACTTCAGTGTTTCTCTGCTATGTGAAAAATATTATGCTATATTGTATAATATATTTGTTTTGGACTTTTAATTTACGCTGGCTGAATATTCATTCTGGCAGTGCTTTTATTTTTAGTCTGAATTTTTTTACTTCAATATTTCATGCATATTTTCCTGTTTTGTCTTCCAGATTCCTGTTGCTGTGACACAGATAAGTTCAACCAACCACCCAGTGAAAGTGGGGCTCTCAGATGCATTTGTGGTCGTGCACAGGATCCAGCAAATTCCCAGTATGTAGTATTGTAGTGGTGCTAATGGTTTAGAGGCTGAGAAACAAGTATAAGCTGATTTCATCAAGGATAATTAGCTGCAAAACAAATCACTTAGCTAATTTCAGCTTGTTAATTCAAGTGTAATTTTATTTGCTTGATAATTCCCAATGTGGCTTTTTCTGTCATTGTTTCTTCTGAGCTGATAAATTTAGTAAATAAAACTAAATGGCCAGCCAAATAATGTAAAATTAAATTGTCAACCAGCACAATTTGGTGTTCCATAAGATACTGTATCTGGATATCTCCTTATCCATAGCAGGGAAGAATCAACTTGTTAAAAAAAAAAAAAATTCCAGGCTGAAAATTCTTGATAATTTAAATTCTGAGCTTGAAATTCATATACAGATTTTGGTGAAAGAAAAGAAGCAGCTATGTAGTTATTAAATAACATCTTGGACTTACATAATTGTGGCAACAGTAATGCAGGTGACAGTTAATTTTCTCTGGCATTAACTATAATTTATATGGATTGACCGAAAGCTAAGAGTAGGAAATCAACTGTGATTTCCTTAATATTTTGTTTTAACGTACTATGTTCAGAACCCTTTGATCTTGTTTAGCCATTAGAGAATATACTCGTTTTCCAAGTTGTTTGTTTTATTTGAAGCTTTGGAGCAAATTTACAAAGTTTGATTTTTGATGATACCCTAACAACAGGGTGTAGATGGAAGGAGCTGCACTTGAAGCAGCCTCTGAGGACTGAGTCCAGGTGTGTTCTCCTAAAATGAACGCTGACAGAGATGTGGCACTGATAAAGCTCATAAGAACTGACCTGATCTGGCCTGTCTTTAAGGCAGTCTGCAGATGGGGCTGACACTGAAGTTGCAGGTACCATTGCCTCTCAGCTCATCCTATCCCCTCTTCATCACATTTCAACAGTCTTTGATACGAGGGAGCATAAATCCCATGCCTTATATGTCCTGCTATAGGAAAGATGGAGAATTTCAGTACCATCTGTTGCTTGTTGTAAACTCAGTGTAGCGTGAAGGAGGTTGGCATGCCCAGATTTCACTTAAGAGATCAGGTCTTGGAAGAAATTTGTTTCTGGAGTATGATAGATAGTTGTGATGTGCCTATCAAGGTCACAAGGATTGCTTGAGTGCTTAGGAACAAATGAATCTAGGCAACCAGCTTCAGCAATCTGAGCGATGTTTTTAAGTGAATTATCTGAATATTTCTGTGAGTCTTCAGCTTGTGAGAGCTCCTAAAATGGATTCAGGTAGAAATTAGATTGACTTGTGCAAATGGTTTATGAGCATAGTCATATAGAAATTCAATGTTAGAAATGCAAGCAGTAGGCCTCCATCATCAAACAACACTAAAGAAATTTTTTAAAGTTATATATTCTGTATGTAAAATATATGGCATGTGGGAGTCTTTATTCTAGTTTGAGTGTTTCCTTCTGTAGAAATATTTCAGACATACACCTTATTTTACTATCCCTACGTAATGTTGGTTTTAATTTATGCGCAATTACTTACTAGTCTTCTAGTTTTAGTATTTCTGTAAACTTTTTTGTCACATGACACTTTCTGCCAAGTGAAGTGACTGTAATTGCCAGAAAATCTGTCTAGTGTTTCATCTTAAACTGTTCCTTAAATTACATTAAGGAGTGGCAGATAAGAAAAAAAGAATGAAAAGAGTCTTGAAAGGTGCCACTGCCACAACTGTTTTGATAGCATTATTTCTGCATTACTGTATATAATGCACTGCTTTTCTCCTCAACAGCTGCTTCTGTGGATAGTGGTAATTCTTGATGATTTTTGCTAGTTTGTAGCTTACGCTAGAAGGTAGTCAAGAGAACCAACAGTTCGCAGTAGATTTTCCTGAAGCTAAATTGTGCTTTCAATGAAACTGGTTTGAATTAGTACATACAGGCAACATAATAGCACCCTGATAGAACTGATAAACAATGTTGGCCCACAGAGAGCCAGTGTCGGATGCTGTTAAAACATGCTTGTTCTTGCATTCTTGTTTTTCAGAAATGTTAAATCACCCATGGCTCTAGTCAATTACTGAAAAAGTGATATGATAGAAATATTATTTTACTTTATTTGTTAGCTCCTCAAGACAACAGAAGAATAGGAATTGCTGTTTGTTTGTCCCAAAAGAAGGCAAAGATAGTATAGCTATTAGTTTTTGCTTAACACTTCAGTAAAGACTTTTTTTGTCAAGCAGAACTCAGTTTCCCTTTATGTTCAATGTTAGTTATAAAAACACCCACAAACCCAAAGTAAAAAAAACACGCTCCAATTCTACTGCTTCATGTTTGAGTTTTGTCAGTTATTTGTTTGTGTATCTTGCATTTGAAAAGGAAAGAGGCATTAAGTGCAACACAAGCCTATTTGAACAAAAAATATCCTCCCAATTTTCAGAAATGCTGAATGTCTTTGGTGCGCTTTGTATGCTCACTGTTCTAAAATTTCAGTATAATAGTCCTAGTTTTATTGAAGTAAATTTGGAAGATTTAGAACTAACTATTTATCAGATTATTTCAGACGGACTGTCCAAAACATTAGTAATAACTTCTTTAGTACTTCTGAAAGGTAAGTTCTAAAGCCAGGCAAATCTATTTCATTCTGAGAAGAAAAAAACATGCTTTTT